ATAAGCAAGTTAGAAAACTGTATATATAATTTGCTCCTAATTTTTAAAAAATGATCCATATTTGGAAAACTAAAAAGAAGTAGTTAGCCCAACTGTGAAAAGTTATATTTCAGTGGTTGAAATATCAATAACTTATTTTGTTCTTTGTGATTTTCTGTATAGTCTGTATTTTCTATAATAAATACATATTACTCATGCAAAAAATAATTATACATTTAAAAAGTGACAATTTGTGGTTTTAGAAAACATATAACCTAACCTTTACATATTAATCTTCAAAAAATTCAACCTAGTAAAATCCTTTTGAATTACTTATGTTTTATTATATAATTAATAATAGACTCATTTTAATTAATAAATGTAATTTAGCCATTCAGTTACAGACCAAAGAAGGCATTTTTAGGCTCACTGGGATGAGTTATTACAACAAATCTGGCAGGAGACACAAGCTGAGAATGAAAGAAAATAAATAAATACACTTGCCCTGTCCTCTACAACCTGATAATTATGACCAAGACATGTCCTTTTTCATGAGCCAATATTGTTTAAATACAATATTTCCAGAGTGTCTGAATTTATATGTCCTTCCATATAGCTCTATGAAGAAATCAGTATCCTCAGAAATGAAGTGATATTGTTCATATGATCAGAGAAAGAGACTAGAAAGTATTTAGACATTATGTGGTTTAACCTCAGATTCAGAAATGAGACAACAAAAATGAGTGAGATTCTTCAGTTATGAACTGTAATTATCACTGATATATTCCATCCTTTATCTCATCTGATAATACCTTTTACCTATATTTTTATTTGTGGTCATTTCCATATCTATGAAGCATTGTATTTCAAAGCAAAACAAGAGTATCAAATTCACCTTATTTATGATAAACTCTTATAGTATGAATGTTCAAAAAATTGAGCAATATGGTTAATGACCAAAATAAATCAATATTGTTCCTATTTAAAACTGATACAACTTTAAATAAGTAGTTCTTAAACTTAACTAGAATCACTTGAAGAGTTTGTAAAAATTCCAATGCTGAGAGGCTGTGCCCCCAACCAATTAAATTATAATCTCCAGGGATAAAACTTAAGCATCAGAATGTTTTAAAGCTTGCTAGGTGATTCCAACAGAGTCATTGCTTTAGATAAGAAAGGATATTAAGGGAATATGGTGACCTACCGCTTTCTATTTTGAACAAACAAGCTAAAGGTTTGTATCAGAGCCATTTCATCATAAAGACATTTAGGAAATGATAAACAAGGAAAGTACAGGCAGAGGACAGAGAGGTCATAAATGCCTGGGCTGCTGAGATGGTTTTCCTGATATTTTGTGTGGTATGTAGACGATGGAAGCAAGGTGACTTCAGAGCTGGGTACCAGTGAAGGAAAAGAATGACCTTTGTAAGCAGCTATACCTATTTTGTTGACTTTAAAACATCTGCCACAGAATCTAAATAGTTCTGTTATACTATGAGGGGTTACTCACTCGATAAGTCATATTATGGTTGGTACAAATGGCTAACAGTTGCTTGACAAGTACAGCAGGTCCTTGAATAACGTCAATTTGTTCAAAGTCATTTCCTTATCATGTTGATGGGATGCCTGAGGAACTTAACTCTTGTTTATATCAATTAGCCTATGGTTAGATTGGTTTTGTTATACGTTGTTTCACTTATAGCTGACGTTAAGAGAGGACATACTGTACAGGATCACCTGCTACATGTATGCGCTCAGGTACTCCTCAATCAGTGAGTCATGGGAAATTCAAGGGTGGGGATTATTACTGAATAAGCAGAGAATGTAAAAATCTGAGGGACTTCTAATCGCTATAAAGATAGCTGTGAGCGGCAGCTGGCACTCTAACTTGAATATTGTTCTCCCCTGGCAGGTGGCCACTGCTGAGATCCTCTGGAAGGAAATCAAAATCCTAACAGGAGTGGAAAATCACTGGTATCAAGAGCCTTTGGAAACCTTCAATTTGTGTTTATTTCTGGGCTCTATTTTTCCTGCTGCTGGCCCATTTCTTGCAGCATGTTCTCTAGCTCACCCAAATCTTGTGCAATAAAATGAGTACCTTCATTGCAAACTGGAGAAACAAGTGAATCTGACAATTTATTACATTTATCCCTCATTCCATGATCCTAGATGTATCCTTTAAATTGTACCTCAAGAGCCTCTGTAGTAATTTAACCTTATGATTGTTCAAATGCAACGTCCTTTATTCCTTATCTGCCTTATTTTAATTAGGGAAACCATAAACTCCCTAGGTTCTTAATAAATCATAAGACGATTTGGTATAGGTAGAATTGGGTTTCAAAATAACTTACTCTTTTTGTTATGCAAAACTGGCTCACCTCCAAAAGCTTTCTAGGTTCAAGGTGAATTCCTGCCAATACATTAATTATTATAGTAATTTAAGTAATGATATGATGTTAATGTCCACTCAGTGTTTATTTCCATGACCATTCTGTTTCATAAAGTGAATAAGAATGCAAGTAAATACACTTTCACAACATTTTTTTGTACCCATCACAATGGGTACAGAAACAGTTGGGACTAACATATGTTACTCTCTGAAATGAAGATCCCTGTATGCCTTAACAAGATGAGTCATATTCCTTTCAGCAAAGTCAGAAAATGTATCCTGATTACTGTTCTCCCATTTCACTTACGTTCTCAGGAAAACCTAAGCAAATCACGAACAGGCCACTTCAAGATGCTCAGGCCACCAAAAACTAAATGAAGACAATATATTAAACTAGTCAAGGAAAACCTGTATATTTTTTTAAAAAAAATCACCTTTCTAACAAATTAGATATTGCTAAAGGGAGAAGAAGGGTAGGGAAGAGGCTTCGTCCGTAGAAAAGATAATTATTAATGCTCATTACCTTATGCCAGACCAAAGTGAACTGAAAATCAGACAGCATAAGCTATATTTGACCCCAGCACCTAGAGAGTCTTATGTAGGGTGTCTCCCAAAAATGTATACATATACTTTGAATAATTATGAAGGCAGTGTTTATTAAAATACATTTCATTTTCAAAATTGAGCTATCAACTGTTAAAGTGTATATACTTTTTTTGGACACCCTTTAGACTGCCAAATTAAAATGTAGTACTCTTCTCCAACTTAGCACTGAAACTGTAAGTCATGTTGGTCCCTCGTTTCTCCAAGATCATTTACCACATAATATTTCAAAAATTCAAAGAAGTGATATTTTTACTTTAGATAACTTGGTTATGCAGATCCTACCAATACTTCCAGGGATCATAACTTAAGATTACAAGCCTATAGAAAAGGGAAATTTAATAGCATACTGACTGATATCAAATTATAGTACAAGGCTATAGTAATCAAAATAGCATGGCACTATCATAAAAACAGACACATAGATCAATGGAACAGAAGAGAGCCCAGAAATAAACCCAAGCCCATTTGGTCACTTCATCTATGACAAAGGAGGTAAGAACATGCAATAGGGTAAAGACAGTCTCTTCAATGGATGGTCTTAGGAAAACTGGATCACTTTCTTACATCATATACAAGAATAAACTTAGAATGGATTAAAGGCTTACGTAAGACCCAAACCATAGGCACTAAACTTTTTAACACTGCTCTTAATAATTTTTTTTTTGGATATGTCTCCTCAGGCAAGGGAAACAAAACAAACAAATGGGTCTAAAAAGTTTTGCACAGGGAAGGAAACCATCAACAAAATGAAAAGACAGACAATGAAATGGGTGAAGATATGTATCAGTGATACATATGATAAGGGGTTAATTTCAAAAATATAAATAAGGAACT